ATACAAAGTTTTCTACCACTACCAAGTTATTGTTTGGGTTTCTACATAGGTCTTGGCTGAGGTGCAAAGATTAGCAGTTAAGTCAGTGTTTTTTTACTGTGAGAGAGTATCTGCCAGCCATCATCAAAAGAGAAGGAATTGGCAATAGTAGTATTCTAAAAGAGAAAAGATTAGTTTCTAGTTTTTATTGAACTCACTGTATGTTGATTTCAAAGCACATTTTGTTCAAAAAGTAAATCCAGTTGTGCTGTCAGGTTACACTTGTCTTTGGGCTGGGGGAGAGGCTCATCCTTGAGGATTTCTTGCCAGTGCCCACTGCCACTTTGGAGAAAGAGTAGCCATCGTTACCCCTTCTGCATCAAGCATGCTCATGGGGCAGATGTAGCTGTGAACATTACAGGGCATTATGCATGCATGTATATTAAGTACTTTTAAACCCCCACAGTGATAATGTTTGAATTCTTTCATATACGAATGATTTGGGTATTAATTTGCTTCCTGTGATTATTTAATGTGTATATGCAGCCTGTGTGCTGGTTTTTTTTCCTGTTCCCCTTTGCATGTGATGTGCTACCAAAGGAAGACAGTAATAGTCTCTTGGGGTAGGTACAGCTCTGTTCATATCTGAGATAGGAAGACCATTTTGTTCTCAGAAAATATACAGCAATGCAGTTTAATGGATAATGGCATAAATGCCAAGATGTGATGGGCAGAACCATTTTCACTGAGAGATGAAAAAGACTGCAAGGACTCTGTTACTCAGTGTTGGATAGCAGATAAGTAAAACCATATAGAAGTGGGATCTTGTGTGCTGCTCAGTGAGTGTGCTAATGCCTGGCACACGTAGCTTAATAAAGTAATCATACATATGAGATTAATTTTTTTTTTTAAGTACTAAAGAGAAAGCTGATGGGGTTTACAGGAGGTAATTCCAGTCCTTTAGATGTGTGTTATTTTTCTCTTTATTTTTGGTACTGCTTTGGATGATAAAAAGATGGTCTTCCCTCAGGTCAGCAGGA